TGGTGTTTGTGGAAATTCGAGTGTTTATTGTAATTTGTTTTGTCTCATGTGTGCCCACACACACGTCTTCGTGGATTTTAGGAATTGATGTGGAAGACATTGGTTTTCTAAACACAAAGATTAGAGCAAGGACTGTTCGTGGTCAAAGAACTCAAGTTATCATCCGAGTCGGCTTCCAGGTATTTTTTCTGATTGAATTCTTGATATATATAAGTTAATGAGATTAATTTATTCGTGCATAAATTAATATAATCTATAGAGTATCTCAAAAGTTTTATGAAAATTTTTGTTATACACGATCCGCCTCTTCCCCGCACCACCGCGCTTCCGCATCCGGATTCGATCCGGAGACCAACAACAACCACAGTGGATGTAGCTCTGATTTTATAGAGTGAACCACTATAAAATCTCTTGTGTTCCTTATTTGTGCACATCTTTCATTAATGCACAATACACCCCTCCAACAAATTCTTACACACATTCAACACTAAGGCCGGTAATCCAACGGGAAACCCAGAGGTAACCCGACCTGTTTTTGTTGATGAGAATTCACCGTCAACAATTGGCGACTCCGCTGGGGACCGAAAGTATTTGACCCCCAACAACATAGTTAGCAAGCACGCCTCCAAGAAAGAGAATTGATGCCATCAACCGAGGCAGCCAGACGGACAAAACCGCCACCCATCCAGGGAATAACGGGATGGAAGAAGATCTACGCCCGGTCAGAAATGAAGTCCTACTCCCAGACGCGCCACGACCGGATCCTGTGCAGATGTAGGCCCAACTAACCACTCTAACCGAGCTGGTACGCGGGCTAATGACCGTGGTTGAGCGCTTGGATGGAAGGAACTCTATGCCGCCGTTAGAAGATGCCCCGAGGCTGCTGGGACCTGCCATGGCTGAAAACCCGAACCCCAGTGACCGCCCACATATCCAAGAGGGAACCGGGGACAACGAGAATCACCGGGGCCCTCCTAGGCCTCTACCTTCCCAATCTTCCGGCAGCTGTTTAAGGGCCGCCGGACTCCGGGCTCCCGAGGATTGGATACCGAGAGGCCAGGGAAATCGCGAGGTACTACCCCAGAATCTAGGGGGAAACCCACCAGGAGACTCAGGGTCAGTACAGGCGGGCGGCCAGGCAAGGGGCGTACCCAACGTTCAAGGGGCAAAGGCGTCGAGAGTAGCTGGCTCGGCCATCTCAACAGAAGAAGCGCACGCCATCATGGAACAACGTGGCAGGCCTGAAAAAGAACATAGGGCGAGTGGCTGAGGTGGTAAACGTCGACATCACACCTAGCCGCACACATGACCATCCGTTTATCACAGAAATAATGGCGCCCCCTCTCCCTGACAAATATAGGTCACCGTCGATCCCACCATATGATGGTCGAGGGGATCTCGACGATCATTTGGAGATGTACACAGGACACATGCTCTTACACGGGTATGCTGAGGAAATCATGTGCTGAGCTTTTCAGAACCATTTAACGGATTCTGCCCGAAGATGGTTTCAGACGCTGAGGCCAAATTCTATCTCAAGCTGGGATGAGTTGAAGGAAGCATTTTCCCTCCAATTCATAGGGGTTAAAAAATACGTCCCCCCGAAGCAGAATCTGACGGCGATATACCAAAAGTCGAACGAATCATTAAGGGAATGGCTTGCAAGATATGGGGAAGCTGTCGCCGCCACGATGGATATAACAGACAGAGAGGCCTTGATGGGGGCATTATCTTGCATGAAGAAAATTACCCCCTTCAAGAAATAGCTGAACCGAAAACCCCCGTCTAGCTACAAGGAATTTCTTGCGCGAGCGCAAGGGTACATCAACGCCGAAGAGGCAGACGAAAATGACCCTGAGCATAGGTCCAACAAGAATAAAGGGACCGAACGGGGGTCGACGCCAGCAAAATAGGACGGGAAGAAGCGTCGAGGTGGAGGAAGTGGAGACAAGCAGCCAGCTGCGACGACGAGCGCTCTAGAAGCCAAGAAGCCAAGACAAGAGGATACCCGTAAGCCTCGACTGTTTCAAAAGTATGATTCCTACCACGAGCTAACGGTAGGGGTCGAGGAGGTTTTCAACTAGGTCGGCCGCGGAAACCTGCTGCGCCGACCAGAACCGATGAAATCGGATCCCAGCCGAAGGAACCAAAAGAAATTCTGTAGGTTCCACGGCGATGTCGGCCACCACACCAATGATTGCGCCGACCTTAAGGATGAAATCGAGAGAGTAATCCGCGAGGGGAGGCTATAAGAGTTCAGAGCCGAACGGAGACCTCGAAACAATGGCCACGGTGGACAGAATGACGGTCGACGCCGAGAGGAAAACCAGCGCCCAAAGGACCGAGAACCCGTCGGCGTCATACGAACTGTCCTCGGCGGCCTCTATATAGGAGGAGACTCAAGGAGGTCTCAGAAGGACTACGCCCACGAGGCCAGGGGGTTTACCAGGAAAGGTTCTGGAGCGTCTCTGCTGCAAAAACCCCAAGATATAGCCACACCGACGTGGCCTTTAATGAGGACGACGCCAGCGGAGTTCACTTCCCCCACAACGACGCATTGGTGGTGGAATCCATGATTGGGAACCACACTGTGTGCCGAATCCTGGTAGACAATGGGAGTCCGGTGGACCTCCTATACTCCGACTGTTTGGAAAAAATAGGGATCCGAAAGGAACAGTTGGAAAAGACCTCCACGCCATTATACGGTTTAACCGGGGACTCCGTCATCCCTCAGGGGACTATCCGGCTGCCCATAATCGCAGGAGAGAAACCTCGACAGACTACGACAATAGCCAACTTTGTGGTAATAAAGGGAGGCTCCCAGTACAACGCTGTAATCGGGAGACCAACCCTTCAGGCGCTAAGGGCAATAACCTCCGTCTACCACTAGAAGGTCAAGTTCCCTACCCCAAACGGCGTAGGTGAAATGAAGAGCAACTAGTATGAGGCTAGGGTTGCATACTCTGATGCCCTGCGCTGATACGACCAGCCAGGGAAACAGGAAACTAGGACGGTCTATCAAAATACCGTCGAAGACATAGACCCCAGGGTTCAAGAGGAGGTCACATGGTCCCAACCCATCGAGCAATTGGTGGAAATCCAAGTTGATAAGGCGAGCCAACCAAAGTACTAAAAATAGGCTCGGACCTAGCCCCATCACTTAAGGTCGAGATCGAAAACTTCCTCAGAAAGAACTTAGATGTCTTCGCTTGGAATCATGCTGACATGGAAGGGATCGACGCCGAGGTTATATGTCACTCCCTGAACGTCGACTCCTCATATCCTCCCAAGTGCCAGAAGCGTCGACCAGTGAACCCCGAGAGGTATGAAGTGCTGAAAGAAGAGGTCAACAACAATGGGTTCATCAGGGAGGCCCATTACCCACGTTGGGTCTCAAACCCCGTTTTGGTGGTCAAGCCTAATGGAAACTGGAGAACATGCGTCGACTTCAGCGATCTCAACAAAGCCTGCCCAAAGGATGACTTTTCACTCTCTCGAATAGACCAGATGGTCGATGCCACAGCGGGACATGAGATGCTGAGTTTTATGGACGCCTACTCTGGATACAACCAGATCCCCATGCATCCAGCCGACGAGGAGCACACATCCTTCATAACCGACAGGGGCCTCTACTGCTACAAGGCGATGCCTTTCAGCCTGAAGAATGCGGGGGCTACCTACCAGAGGCTCGTGAATAAGATGTTCGCTCAACAACTCGGCAAAATAATAGAGGTCTACGTCGACGATATGCTTGTAAAAAGCGCCAGGGCCAGCCAACACGTCGACCATCTGGGTGAAATATTTGGCGTATTGAGAAAATACCACATGAAACTAAATCCCTAAAAATGTGCCTTTGGAGTTGGGTCGGGGAAATTTCTCAGTTTTATGGTCAGCAACCGAGGGATAGAAGCTAACCCTGAGAAGATTAAAGCCCTACAGGATATGCGGTCCCCAACTAAGCCAAAGGAAGTGCAAAGGTTGACAGGATGTGTCGCCGCCCTAAACAGGTTTATATCAAAAGCAACAGACAAATGCATCCCCTTCTTCGATGCTTTGAAAGGAAGCAGGCGCTTTGAGTGGACACCGCAATGTGAAGAGGCCTTCCAGAAATTGAAGGAACATTTGAGCAAGCCCCTAATTCTGTCAAAACCAAACCCCGACGAGGAGCTTAGCCTATACCTCTCCGTGTCCCAACACGTCATAAGCTCCGTACTAATAAGAGAAGAAGAAAGGGTGCAATTGCCAATCTACTACGTGAGCAAAAGGCTCCTCGACGCCGAGTCAAGATATAGCAAAATGGAACGCTTAGCCCTCGCCTTAATGGTAGCTTCAAGGAAGCTTCGGTACTATTTCTAATCCCACACAATATGGGTTCTTACAAACCACCCGTTGAGACATGCTCTATAAAAGCCCGAAACTTCCGGGCGACTTCTCAAATGGTCGGTAGAGTTTAGCCAATTCGACATTAAATATGTGCCAAAAACTGCGATCAAGGGCCAAGCGCTGGCCGATTTTCTAGCCGAGTTCTCCCATAGACCAGCTCCCGCCACACCTGAAGGAGTCGAGAATACATAATTGAAGCTCTACGTGGATGGAGCGTCGAGCGATAACGGGTCAGGAGCCGGCGTCTTGTTAATCAGCCCAGAAGGCCACAAGATTACCTCGGCAGTTCGATTTAAATTCAAGGCGTCAAACAATGAGGCAGAATACGAGGCGCTAATTGCTGGGTTGCGATTGGCCAGCCACCTAAAGATCGAGAGGCTCAGCGTCTTCAACGATTCTCAATTGGTCGTCGGGCAAGTGAAAGAAGAATACCAAGCGCGCGGCGAGAAAATGAGAGTGTACTTGAGAAAGGTAAAGGAAGAACTCGTCAAGTTTAAAAACTACGAGATACTTCATATACCACGAGCCGAAAATGTAAACGCCGACGCTCTAGCAAAGCTAGCATCTTCGAAAGATTCTGACACACTAGGGGTCATTCCCATCGAAGAATTGGAGCGGCCGACCATTGAGGAAAAAGCTAAGGCATTAATCGTCCAAATAGATGAAAATTGGATGATGCCACTTATCCAATACCTAATGGACGCACAACTGCCAAGCAATAAAGACGAAGCCAGACGGATCAGATATAGAGCTGCTAGATACTTATTGTACGATGGCTTACTTTACCGATGAGGCTACTCAACACCTCTACAGTGGTGCCTGGATGATGCCGAAGCCTAAAAGGTCCTCCAAGAAATCCATGAAGGAGTCTGCGGTAATCATACTAGGGGGCAGTCTTTAGCTCTTAAGGTTTTGAGGCAATGATACTACTGGCCCACGCTAAAAAAAGACGTTTTCTAATACGCCCGACGTTGCGATAAATGCCAGAGGTATGCCATAATTCCTCGAGCACCCCCAGAAAATTTAACCTCTATTCTCAGTCCACGGCCCTTCGCCAAATGGGGGGTTGACCTAATCGGGCCACTACACCTTGCACCTGGAGGCTTTAAGTTTGCCATCGTCGTGGTAGACTGCTACCCGAAATGGGCAGAGGCAAAGGCTTTAACTACGACCACGGAAGCAGCATGCACCAAATTCATGTGGGACAACATTGTGTGCAGGTTCGGGATTCCCCACTCAATAGTATCCGACAACAGAAAACATTTCGACAATGCCTCAACACGCAGATTTTGTGACAGTTTGGGCATTCAGAAAGACTTCTCGACACCAATCCATCAACAATCTAATGGACAAGTCGAGGCGGTCAATAAAATATTAAAGTATACCCTCAAAAAGAGACTCGACGATCTAAAAGGGAAATGGGCCGAGGAACTCCCCAAGGTCTTATGGGCATAAACACTCTTCTCCATGACGTATGGCGTCGAGGCAGTGCTCCCTGTAGAAATCGAAACGCCGACCTTAAGAACTGTCGTCCACAACGACGACGACAACACAGAAGGCATGAACGGAGAACTCGACTTGTTGGAAGAAAAGAGGCTCGACTCCCAACTACGCCTCGCCGCCTATCAGCAAAGAGCAGCACGATATTACAACAACAGAGTTCGACAAAGAAGGTTCGTCCCAAGAGACCTAGTATTAAAAAGGGTAACGCAGAGTACAAAACCCAAAAATACTGGTCCACTGGGCCCAACTTGGGAAGGGCCCTACCGCATAAGGGAATTGTTGCGTCCTGGCACCTACATTTTGGAAAGTCTCGGCGGCAAAAGAATTCAACACCCATGGAATGCAGAACAACTAAGGCTGTACTACCAATAGTGTATGTAATTCTCACGCATCCCAATTTTACATTCTTTACGAATTAAATAAATTTTGTATGTTTGCAGAAGGAAAGGAATTCACCCCTTAATAACATGTCTGCTTAAAAAACCAAGGTATATTAAACAGACATGGGGGACAAAGGTCCACGGATCACTAAAAAATGACATGACGACCCCAAGGGGTGAAATCGGCGTCAAACACTTAGCAAAAATTCTAAGGAATTTTCTAAGGCAACGATTGCAAAGCGAGGTATGAATAAAATCTGCTATCTTTATAAAAAGTACAATATTTATATGATAAATACAATATTTATCGGTCATCGGTGCCGGTGGCCGGAGACTGGTAAACACCAGATTTACAGATAAATACAATATTTACTAATTTTCAGCGTCTGCGTTGCTATTGGCGTCCATATTTAGTAAATATGGTATTTACCAGTCCGATGGAGACGGCCGATGATTGATAAATATCGTGTTTCCAGATAAGTATGATATTTATAAGTAAATACCATATTTTTTAGTTGCCGGCACCGGTTGTCAGTCATTGGTCACCAGTCGCCGGCCGGCCACATATACGGGTGACTATGGTATTTACCAATTTCGGGTGTCGACAGTCGTGGCTAATAAACACCTATTTCTGGGTAAATATGATGTTTACGAGAAAATACCATAGATCGCTAATCACTGGCATTGGTGGACCTGACCATAGGGGGAAGGAGAGAGAGGTGAGAAGGAGAAAGAGTTGAAAGGTATTTTTGAATTTTTAATAGTGTTGAGAACCTAAGATATTAAATTATACTGTTTACTACCCATTCTAAAAAATTTTGCTATAATTTACTAAGTACCCTATCAAATACTCATTCTCCTTTTTTGAGTTCTCGCATTTTTATTTTCATTTGTATTGTCCAATTCATAGTGCATTTTTTTCATAGAGAAAATTACAGAATTTACCTTTAAGAGTGTTTGTGTCTGAATATTTACTCCTCATTCTTAATTAATACCATTTTGTTAGTATAATTATTTAACTAAAAAGGTTATTAATAAATAGTAAGGGTAGAAATTTTGACCCATGTATTTTTAAGAGTATATGTCTCATTTCCCCCGCATTCTAAGAGCGGTGGTCTAGCCCTTTAGGGGTATTCGCGGTCGGTTTGGGCGGTTTTTTTTTTAGAAATCACCAACCTAAAAATAATTTTTTCTTTTAGGTGGTTTGATTTTTTTGACAAAACAAAATTAAACCAAATCACTCTTAAGTGGTTTGGGTGGTTTGAGCTTAAGACTAAAAATGTTTTCAATAATTCATAAAATTATAAAATCGTTATACCATAAAAATAAAAATAAAATTTAAGTTTACAATATAACTCAAAAATAACAAATGTATAAAAGTTTACCATTTAAAGTTTTAATACAAACCAACATAAATATGATATGATGTATTTTATAAGTTTAGAACCTTTATTATCACCAATAAAAACTAAAATAAATGTAAAAAGTATTTTAAAAATTAAAAAATTATATATATATTTGGGCGGATTATTTCTAAAAAAATTAAATTAAAAAACTAATTAAACTGTCTAATAATCTAAAAGTAATTAATAATTTAATTTGATTTGATTTGAATTAAGCAGTT